ACTAATTGACTTGAATTTCAAGTCGCTTAATGTGCAGTGGTTTGAATTTAATGTGTTTGGAAATTGTTAAAATTCTTTTCACAATATTATTAAAAGTTTTTTCTATAGATTAGATGGCCTACTCATGAATGTATATGCATCCACCATATTTTCTGTGAATCAATGAGATTCTATGAGAACAACCTAAGATACCTAGAGCCAACCAGGACAGAGGATAGAGATTGGTCGAGCGTCTGACAAAAGGTCAACCTATCCAGAGGTTGAAGATCGATCACACGACCGACCAAGGACCGATTGGCCCGAATGGTGGCCAAACTATGGCTTGCCTAACTTAAAAATCAACGATCAGATTGGAGTCAACTGGTAAGAAGACGAAGTTCTATATATTCATCAATTAGAGATTGATCGATTAAAAAGACTTGAGAGTACATTTGTTATTTCACGTTAACCATAGCCCATTATAAATAGAGGCAATAAATGCAATAAGATTTGTTGATCTCATCTCTGTGCGTTAATTCTTTCCAATTTCACTTTATATTTTGGGTGTGTTATATGGGCAAGGCAAGCCTGAATTCAACATATAAATTACTGTTTTAAATTAAGAAGTGGTATATTAAATAAAAATAACTGAGCTACTGAGCATACTTGTAAGAGAAAAATAATTGGAGGCAAGTGTCAAGATTTGGTTTGTGAATAAATTGGTCGTCAAGTACATACTGTCATGATTTGCTCACGTGTCCACAAAATGAAAAACTTTATAATGTCGGAGAAAATTCTGGTACATCCTTTCTTAATTTTCTTATAACTCATTATGAAATTTAATATGGTTTTTTATTTAATCAATTCTATCCGTTGTACTTGAATAAAACTGTCCCTTTAATTAGAATTTATCATATATAAACCCTTACTCTGTGTACCTCTTCTTCTAAACCTTCCCTCCGGCATGTCCAAAATCTCCTATTTTCAGTAGATTCAATTAATTGTAGGAATCATACCAATTCTATACGTACGTACGTACGTACGTACATACATACATACATACATACATACATACATACATACATATATATATATGATCAATATTCTCGGAGGAGAAAATTATAGTGCATAACCTGTGATGAGATCGTTTATGCTAAATGACTTGAAGGAGATGATTGTGGTAAAATTGAGATTGTGGTTTATACTTTAAAATGACGAAGGTATGACTCATATATCAGAATTTGAAGTCTCTTGGATTTGGAGAGATGTAAGTCTGTCTTTTGGAATGAAGAGGTGTATTTCCTGCAATGGAGAAGAGTGTCTATTGGAATTTAGTGGGTTGGGGGGAGCAAGGGCGCGTTAGTTTTTTTATCAGTGGGTTTTATTTATATATATGATGTGTAACCCTATGGGTATGAACTGGACTTCTCTGAAATGGTGAAATTCACCGCTCCGCTCCCGAGGGTAGGCATTTTTGCCGAACCTCGTTAAATCTCTGTGTGTTCTTCTGGATTTGTGTCTATTCTTGTTTTTCTTTGTCCTAAATTTCTCAACAATTGGTATAAGAGCGAGGTTTAAGAGTGGAGGTGATTAGCGCAAGAAGAAGAAGAAGAGTTCGGTGGTTTGCGACAGTTTTAGCCAGGCAGCGACTTTAGGCGATCAGACTGGACGAAGAGCTTCAGTTTTGTCGAGGGTTCTGCGACGAGAAGTGCTTCGTCAGTTTTAGCGGGGCAGTTTGCAAAGGAGTTAGCGAGCCGTCTTCAGGGAGTTCGATGAGAAAGTTCCCAGTAGTGTTCTCAACTAGGTAAAGTGAGAAGTTGTGGCGGTTTGGATCGCGACAGAGCAGACGAATCACGACATTCGTGAATCGCGGCGTTTAGAGAGGGCATCTTTCGCGACAGGTGAGGGCTTCGATTTGTGAATCGCTACAGAGGAGCAATTCACTATCAGAGGTTTCTTTCGCAGGAGCAGGAGCTGTTTGTGTAGGACCTCTTCCTCTTTCGTAGAAAAGGATTTGCAAGGGTGGACTCGCATAGAAAGGCTCACGACGGTCTGCGAGCAGCTTCACACGACAGAGGAGAATCGCAGTAAAGGAGGTGGTCGGCGCAGTTCTTATGCTAGAAGCTTCTTCATGCAACAGGAGAAGGGATTCGAACTCTCTGCCATGGATTGGCTGCAGTAGGCACGACTTCGTGCGAAGGTTTGAGGTAGAAGTTTCGCGTTGCGGCTGAAGTTCGGAGGATCATGACAGACATAGGAGTTCGGTTCTTCGATAGCCAGTGGGGCTTCGAGGCGGGACAGTTCAAGAACCTTTGCGATATTTGATAAGGCGGAGTTCATGAACAGAAATTGGCATGTAGTTACTGCGAACATGAGAGTTTGCGAACAGAGGAGTTCGGTGGTGTTTGGCTAGCAGAGTTCACAAGCTCGTCGCAAAAAGAGTTGCGACAGGTGGATTTTACAACAGATGGAGTTTGGCAGGGTGCAGGCGAAACAAACAGGCACAATTATTTGCGAACAGTGGTTTTCGCGGAGGTATTTCACAAAGGGTTTCGCTCGCTTGACAACATTTTAGCCGAAGTGTTGACGCGAACAAGAAAAGTGCTTCGTGTGAAAATTTTGATTCACGAATCACAGCAAAATTGCAGAAAAATTGCTGCAATTGGCAGAGAAAATTTTAGGTTTCATTGAATTTATTTGCGATGTGTTTTTTGTTTCGACATAAAGCAGGAAAAGTTCGCTGCAAGATTAATTTCAAAAGATAATGTCCAGTGCAAAATTCGAATTAGTGAAGTTCGATGGAACAGAAAACTTCAGATTGTGGCAAACAAGGGTGGAAGATTTGTTAGCACAATAAAGAATTTTGAAGGCTTTGCGAGCTACAAAACCTGATAATATGTTGACCAAGTCAAGTAATATCAAAAAGTTCTTGCATTGCTTGAACTTGTTGAATGTTTGCAATTGTTAGACGACATGATTGTCCAACCCACTTCAGTGTAAGAAACTCCATTATGTTTTTATTTCTCCAGAGGGGCTGAATATTCACCAAGGTGGAGATTTGTTGGGTATATTTATTTCTCCTAAGGGGCTGTATATTCGCCAAGGTGGAGATTTGTTAGATATGTCTCATATACCAAAAATTGGAGTCTCTTGGATTTGGAGAGGTGTGTCTCCTGGAATGAAGAGGTGTGTCTCCTGAAATTTAGTGGGTTAGGGGGAGCGATGACGTGTTAGTAATTTTATTTGTAGTATATATATATTTGTCGCTGTGCTCCCGAGGACGTAGACCTCTTTGCCGAACCTCATTAAATATCTGTGTGTTCTTCTGGATTTGTGTCGATTCTTGTTTTTCTTCGCCCTAAATTTCTCAACAGATGGATGGTTGGAGGGTGTGTGCAGTTCGAAGGAAAGGAAGAAGAGCACGGTTCTCCTTCAGATTGAGCTTAACCACTTTTGAGTTCTTCTTCGGACTCCCTCGGGATATAGGAAGCGTTGTTCGGGCTTTCTCGGGATAAAGGAAGAGAAGTGCAAGAAGTAGTTCCTTGCGGCAGAAGGAAGAAGAAAGAAGAGGAAGAAAATTGTTCTCCCTCGGCTTCTTCTTGGTGGCTTGTGGCAGAAAAGAAATTGAGTTTATTTCTTTTATCAGTTTATCTTCTTCGGTATGTCTTAGTGTAGAGTTTTTTTGGTGTATCTCAGTGTAGAGAAATAAAAACAGAAAGAGAAGAAGAGTGAGCAACGAAACGAGAAATTTCTCTTGTAAGTCGAGAGGATCGATTGGTGTAAATTCCTCAAGTAGTAAAATCCTCTGCAACTCCGTGGAAGTAGGCAATTTGTCGAACCACGTTCGAACCACGTAAATCTTGAACCTCGTAAATTTATGTGTTTCACTGTGTTACTGTTTTATGGTGTGACAGTTTTCACATCTTCGTTCAATTTTTCGCTTCGTCGATCGTTCTCCTATTTGATTTATATATATACCTCATCAACTGATGTATATCTTATCTCACAATAATGTCATATGATTTAAATGAGACAAACGTCATTGTTGGAATAGAATCTTATATGTTGATAGGGCTTTGATTAATTTGCAATCTAAACCACACTGCGCAGTTGAATCACATCGATTCGAGAAATCTAGAACAAAAAAAGTTGAACAGAAGCATAACAAAACGATTTTAGGAAAAACATACTAATATTTAATGTGGAAAAATCCAAAAATAAGAAAAAATCATGGAGCCGCACCACAAATAAATTTTCACCATGAAAAATCAGATATGTATAGAAATACTCACTCGGATCTTCTCTTTATAATCAATGAAACTTAAAGAATTTTGATTCAAACAATTCCTCTCAATCTCATTGAAGAAATTGCAACTTGAAATCCTTCTCCTTAACTCTTCTCTGTTTCACCAGAACCTTATCGAAACACTACACACAAAAGTCATAACCTTTATCACTTGAATTGAAAGTTTTAAACCGAATCGGAAACCTGATGACACGCCTGTGCCACTCCTTGAAATATAACTGCCATGCTCGTTAGAATCGGGCGCATAGGAGCCCAAAATGCAGCACGGGGATGCTATTCTACGTAGGTCATGAGGATGATACCTAAGACCTTATAAGTGAGGTTATAGTTGTCACAATGGAACTGATTATAGACCATGTGATATAATATGTTTTGTGACTCTCCCGATGATAATGACTATGGCATCATCTGGGATTAATCCATATGATCGAATAAAAATTTGAGGATCTCAGTTTACAATTTGACCGCTTAAACTCTTAATTTAGCATAATTTATTTCTTTCATGAGCACACAGAAATCATGAACCTGACAAATATGCTTTTGATGCGTTTATTAACAATAATATTTGCCACGTCTAACCTCCTTAGCGTGCTTATTGTGGAAGATGACCGACCGCAAGCTTCCGAGTCCTCCAAGCCCTATATATAAGAGCTTCTTCTCCATAGTAAATCAACACAAACAAACAATTTGCTTCTTTTCTTCCTTATCATCATCAATGGCCGGAGGCATGTCGTTGGATCATCCACGGGCATTTGTTTTCGGTATCTTAGGTATTAATTATAATCAACCCTACTTCTTCCTTCTCTCTTTTTACGCACGCATGGCTAAGTAGCTTGGAAGAAACAAGAAATATACACACACTAACAGTGCGGCTTCTGGTGACTATTTGGTAGTGCAGCCTACCGTAAGTCCCCTGGGGTTCCCAATTTAATCCCGTCTGAGTGCATCTGTCTTGCAGTATGAAATCTAGTGATTAGACAAATGAAGGTGATTTGGGGCTAGTATCATAACCTCAGGCCATTCTTTTTTAAAATACACACACACACACAAAAGCTATTTACATGAGCTTGTGTCAAAATAACCTCTAATTATTTTAAAATTAAATTCTAATAATTTTTATGAGTTTTATTTAAGTCTTAATTTAAAGAATTTTTATATTATTTTGGTATGTGATTAAAATGACCCCATATTAGTCCAGGGCCGATTTTAAGAGAGAGAGAGAGAGAGAGAGAGAGAGAGTATGATTCCTTATAATAGGCTTGACAGCAAAAAATACATAACGCATAATTAATATTCCACTCTCCTTATCAAATTATTCTTTCAAACTAATTCCAATTTATCCTGCATTTATTACAGGCAATGCCATTTCCTTCATGGTGTACCTCGCACCAGTGTGAGAGCTTTAAACTAATAATATTTTACATTTAAATTCACCTAAATAAAAGAAATTATTTGCAGGCCAACATTTTATCGAATTCATCGAAAGAAATCGACCGAAGGGTTCCAATCTGTGCCTTACGTGGTGGCGCTATTCAGCGCTATGCTTTGGATGTTCTATGCGTTGATCAAAAGAAATGCTCATCTCCTAATCACCATCAACTCCTTCGGATGTGTTATTGAAACTACTTACATTATCATTTTCCTAATTTATGCCTCTAAGAAGGCTAGGGTATGTTTGTAATTCCACTTATTATGAATCTCTTATTTCTAGTTATAATATAAATTAGACAAAAAGAAAGGTTTGCATGCACACCAGACTGAATTCTTATATATTAACATATCTAACATCTAGGAACTTCAATTTTTACGTACATGAAAGTGATGTAATTCAGGTTTTAAACGTTAAAATGATGGTATTTTTAATGTGACATGCAAGATTTGGGGTATAAATGTAAAAGATAAAGTTTAGTTGTTAGATATGTATATACATAAGAATTGGGTGGTATGACATGGGCGTAAATGAGTTTGAATCGAGCTCAAGCCACTCTCGGCCAAAGCTTGATCTTGATTAATTAATTGAGTTCGAGCTCGAGCATAATTCAACAAGTTCTGTCGGCTCACGAGCAAGCTTGTTTATTACTAAAGATAGAGGAGAAAAAATATATAAATTTAAGCTTGTGTTATAACGATGAATTAGGAGATAATTAATAGAAAAACATTTGATATAAAATGTAAAGTATTATTTTTAAAAATTCTTCATAATTTAAACAAAAAATATTGATTTTTATTTAATTAAATTTTAAACGTTCGTGCAATTAGTTATTTGTTTTTATGCAAAATTACAGGCACACACAATCAAGATGGTCGCGCTCCTAAACATGGGGTTATTATCTTTGATAATTCTATGCGTTCTTCTCATCTCTAGTGCCTCACTTCGCCTCAAAGTTCTTGGTTGGATCTGTGTTGCTTTCTCTGTTGCGGTCTTCGTTGCTCCTCTAAGCATAATAGTACGTGCATAATTAATTAAGAGAAAATTTTAATTAAGCCATAGTTAATTTAATTAATTATAACATTCATTTATCATACATAATGTAGAGGGAGGTCATTCGTACCAGAACTGTGGAGTTCATGCCATTCAATTTGTCCTTATCCCTCTCATTAAGCGCAGTGATGTGGTTCGCATTTGGTCTCTTCTCTAAAGACATTTATGTTGCGGTAATTAATTAATTATTTATTTATGATACATTAACTTAACTCATAATATTACATGATTCACCTTGTTACTAATCATACTATTACATTTAAACATATTTGCAGCTTCCAAACGTATTAGGATTCACATTTGGTGTGGCTCAAATGTTGCTATACATCATCTACAAAGATGCCAAGGTTCCTAAGAGCTTGGAAGTGGAGGAAAATACACAAATGAAAGAGATTACTTCGATGGAGATTATTGTTGTCGATGGTGCGGCTGCCGAATTGACGATCGCTGATGAGGCGGAAAAAAGAAATGAGATTGAGAAAGATAATATTCGTGACAGGGCGGACGTTGAAATGAGTTCAGTTTGAGAATGTTAATGTATTAATGGTAGGAGATCAAGAAGTTAGGGTTTGAATTTATCTAACCTAGTTTCCATTCGCTAGCTTTAATAATGTGATTATTAGGGAGGTTTGTGATGATAATAATAAAATCCTTTTCTAATCTAGTTTTGTAATTTTGTTGTTTCTTTAAGAGTTTTCATCTTTCATTAATCATGAAAATGAAAATTTCAGATTTATAAATTGCAATAATTAGACCTTTTGATTTTCGACAATAATTTGGTTTTTATTATTGTTATTTTGACCCTCAATTAATGAACTAAGGTAAAAGGGCACTTTTGTAATGTGGTACCGCTCACCTACCACATCTCACCTACCGCTCACCTACCGCTCACCTACCGCTCTAAGATGTTTTATTAAATGTTCTGAAAATTTCTTTAACTACATTTTAGGTGCTTACACTAATGATGCTTTTGAAATTTTGGCTAAAGAGGATGTGTCTAGTGCTAAAAAATATCCGTAAAATTTCTAGGTAAGACCTCTAAAATTAGAGTATAAATATTCTTAGATTAAACTATCTTCTCAGTTATTTTGACCCCCAATTAATGAACTAAGGTAAAAGGGTACTTTTGTAATGTGGTACCGCTCACCTACCACATCTCACCTACCGTTCACCTACAATTGGCTTGTGTTTGCTTGTGTTCTTTGCGTTTCATTTGTAATGTGGTAAAACGATCTGTGTTTGTTTGTGTTCTTTCCGTTTCATTTCTATGCCAAGAAGTACATATCTCACAACAATTGGCGCCATCTGGGGGAAGATCCATACTTCTTGGCTAGAGTTGTCCGCGTAAAGGTGTTTGTGGCCAGCGACGAAGAAGAGGAGTTTGGCATTCACAAACAAAGGAGCCGGATCAGATCGCGCCGCAGGCAACCGAATCACGACAGATTTGGTGAGCAGTGGAAGCTTTGATCGACTGGATTCGCACCGCAGGTTGTGCGGTTCGGCGAGACGAAGGTAAAACAGTCCGTGAATGAGGGCTAAAAATTTGCGATAAGGTTGCCAGCAGAGGATTTCGGAGCAGGAGTTCAGTCTTGCGAGCAGCTCGGCCAGAGGGAAGAGGTGGAGATCGCGCATTGCGAAGCAGGAGGACCTAAGTAGTTTGGCGAGGCGCGACGGCTCTGGAGAGGCAGTTATTCTCGTGTGAAAGGCAGAGGAGGAATTCTTGATTTGTTCCGTTAGTCGCAAAGGAGTGTCT